ACAACACTTACACGTAATAGGGCTGTTATAAAGATTAAATAAGGGACCGTGAAATACCCAGGATCTTGGGGGAAGGTTGCAAAACGAGGAGGAAGAAGCCTCGTGCCCGGCCCAGGCCCACTTCCTCTTCCGGCCACAGTCCCAGTGACGCAACGGGCCGGGTCTTCCGAGGAGACAAGAGTATCCCCTCCACCACTTGCTGCGGAGCCCGGGTCCCGGCACCTGCGGCTGGGCTCTCGGGCGGGACCTGTCGCCTGCACGTCAAAATGACCGCCAGAGTCCAATCACCGCTGTGCAGGGGCGGGCCGAAGGGCCCACTGGGCCAACTGGAGGCTAGCGCGGGGTCGCGGCTGCAGGACCCACCGTTGAAACCAGAGCTGGGTGAAGGTGCTGTTAGATCGCTTGGAGCCAGGCCGAAGGGTGGGTCGCGCGCTCCCGGGCGGGGGACTCCCGGGAGATGGCGGCCGGGGACCCCTGAGGCCTTCTCAGGCCGCAGCAATAGCCCCAGCCGCCCTCCTAATCTCTGCGGTGGCGCAGGCTGCCCCCTCCTCCCACTTCTGGGCTCGCTCGGCCCGCCATATTGGTTTCTGGCACCGCCCCCTTGTCTCATTGGCCCGGGTCCAGGCCGGCCCCCAGCTCATTGGCCCAGCTTTCTTGCTCCGTCCTTCTCCACCCAGTTAGACCCCGCCTTCCCTGGGCTCCGCCTTCTCTCCGCCCACACACCCAAGCCACGCCCCCAACCTTTACAAGGCTCCTGGACCAGGTTGGGTCCGCCCTTCCGGCTCGTAGGCCATACCTGCCTTTCAGTTCCCCGCCCCTTCGCTCCAGGTTCCCCCGGTTCCACTCAGGACTCCCCCTCTTTCCTTGCAGGACGTCAATCTTCCTCTGGAGTTAAACTCTCACCCACCTGCTGCGGGAGTCCCCCTAGACCACGCCCACATGTTAAGCCCCGCCCACCGCTCTAGTTCCTCGCACCTCGCCCCAAGGTCCCTCCCCACCCACCGCAGCCTGGTCCTCGCAGGCTCCACCCTGGCACCCTAGTCTGGCTCCCTGTGGCCAGCGCGCCCAGGTGTTCACCTGGCACTCAGGTAAGTCGTGTTCTCTCCAGCGTTCCGCAAACCCCGACGGCACGGAGGGACCCCAGGCTAAAGGCGGTGGGCTCTGCAGCCCGGACCCCGCCTCGCCGCTGCTGCGCGCGCCCCGGGCCGAGGATCCCGACGGCAGCACCGTCGTCCCAGGACACGGCGCCATGCCCGAGCTGGTGGTGACGGCCCTGCTGGCGCCGTCGCGCCTCACCCTGAAGCTGCTGCGCGCCTTCATGTGGACCCTGGTGTTCTCGGCGGCGCTGGTGGCCGCCGCGGTCTATGGCTGCATTGCGCTCACGCACGTGCTGTGCCGGCCCCGGCGCGGCTGCTGCGGGCTCCCCCGGCGCACGGCACCCGTCTGCTTGAGCGACCCTGAGCTCGGCGAGCACTGCTTCCTGACCCTCAAGGTGAGCGCACCGGGTGCCGGCGGGGAGGCGGGGCTGCGGCTGCGTGAGCTGAGCGCTAATGACTGAATCCAAACCTAAGGCCGGGCGGGGGACGGGGGCGGGGGGGGGGGGGGTTGGAAGGGAGGGTTTCAGGCATAAGGAAGAGGGGTTCCCCAGATCTTACTTAGACTGTGCCTCCCCCAGAGCTCGGGCCTGCGCCTGCACTATGTCTCCGCCGGACGCGGCAACGGGCCCCTCATGCTTTTTCTGCACGGCTTTCCCCAGAACTGGTATGTCCGAGGCCCAGGGGACTGGGTGCACAGGGCTGGGGGGAGGTGGAACTCCGACCACCAGGGTACCCAGGAGGCAGGACCGGGCTGGGTAGACTGGGGGCGAACCGATACAGGGCTCAGATGGGGCGCTGGGGGACAGGTGTCTAGGAGGCCCAGGGACCAGAGGCCCCAAGGGAGGAGACAAAGAGGAATGAGTCTGTGTTAACACCGCCCGGGATAGGCCTCTGCTAGGTGTGGGGACCCTGACTCAACCTCCCTTCCTCTTCCGCCGGCCGGACAGGTTCTCCTGGCGCTACCAGCTCCGGGAGTTCCAGAGCCGCTTTCACGTGGTGGCCGTGGACATGCGTGGCTACGGCTCCTCCGATGCACCAAGGGATGTGGACTCCTACACTGTCGACCTGCTGACGGCGGACATCCAGGATGTCATCCTGGGCCTGGGTGGGGATGTGTCCCCATCCCAGCCTTGGCCTTCCTGCCCCTGACTCACCTCTGCCGGGCATCTCGCTTACTCCATTTCCTCTGACCCCGCAGGTTACTCCAAGTGCATCCTGGTGGCCCACGACTGGGGTGCACTGCTGGCCTGGAATTTCTCCATCTACTACCCGTCCCTGGTTGAGCGGATGGTGGTGGTCAGTGCTGCCCCCATGTCGGTGTACCAAGGTGTGTCGGGGAGTCCAGGATGCTGGGGTGTGTCTGTTTGAAGGAGCATGTGTTTGTGGCTACACTTCTCTGTCCATCAGTCAACACACCTGGGGCTGGAGGGTCAGCAGTGAACCTGGGTCCCTTCCCCTGGGGCACTCCCAATCTACAACCAATGACAGTACACTTAGGAGTAACTCACATATTTTGAGGACTTACAGGTGATAATTTCTCTGACCAGGAGCCTCATACAGTAACCTTCACAAGCCACCTAGGCTTATGAAAGTATTATTATCCCCATGGTCCAGTTGGGGGAACTGAGAGAAGTTAAATGGCTTTCTTCTAGCAGTGAAAGCATAGGTAACTAAGCAACTACAATTACATAAGATGCCATCTCTGGCTACTCAGTGCTCATCACATCACCTGATTTTAATTACCAGCATTGTAGTCATAGCTGAATATTTGTTCTCCACCCCTCCTCCTCTCTCTCTCTCTCTCTCTCTCTCTCTCTCTCTCTCTCTCTCCCCCCCCCCCCACCTTGTTGTTTCTTGCCTGTTTCCATCTCTAGATTGTCAGCTCCCTGAGGGCAAGGGAGTTTTGTCTGTCCTGTTCATCACTGTGTCTCCAGAGTCTAGAACAGGGCCTGGCACACAGTAGGTGCTCAGTAAATGTTTGTTGAATGAAGCAGGCCTGGGCCAGGAGAGCACACCAGTGGATGTGGGTGCTCCCAGGAGCTGCAGAGGGAGGTGCCCCATTCTGTAGGTACAGTGACTACTCAGCAGGAAGGGAAGCTGGTGCCAGGGTAAAGGGGGACGTCAGGTGTCTTCACAGGCTCAGACAGGCAGCGGTTGCATGCCTGAGTGTTGGTGTATCTGTGTGCCTGACCAGGGTGGGTATAGGGGTGCAGGGATGTGGAGCCATCCCAGGCCCAGGCCTCATGTCTGCATTCCCCTCCCCCTAGATTACTCAATGCGCCACATTGGCCAGTTCTTTCGTTCCAACTATGTGTTCCTGTTCCAGCTTCCCTGGCTGCCCGAGAAGTTGTTGTCCATGTCTGACTTCCAGGTGAAGTAGAATGAAGGCCTGGGGTGGTTGTGGGTGGAGGGCAATTGGTTGGGTAGATGGAGCACTGAAGCCAGAGTCTTGCTTTGTTCTCAGATCCTGAAGACCACCCTCACCCACCATAAGAGGGGCATCCCACGCTTGAGCCCCAATGAGCTTGAGGCCTTCCTTTATGACTTCTCACAGCCCAGTGGCCTCACCGGGCCCCTCAATTACTACCGAAACATCTTCAGGTAAGTCCAGACCCAGGCAGAAGCTCAGGGGAGTTGGTGGGGAAGGAGGTGGGGGCAGCCATCCTTCTGCCTGTCTTGTCTTGGTCATAGGAACTTCCCCCTGGAGCCCCAGGAGCTGGCCACGCCCACCCTGCTGCTGTGGGGGGAGAAGGACAGCTACTTCGAGCATGGGCTGGTCGGGGCCATCAGCAGGCGCTTTGTGCCCGGCCGGCTGGAAGCCCACATTCTGCCAGGAGTGGGGCACTGGATCCCACAGAGCCACCCTGAGGAAATGCACCAATACATGTGGGCCTTCTTACAAGACTTGCTGCACTAGTGGCCCTTGCTCACTGGCCTGCGTGCACCTGGGAGACCACACCGTGTACATACACAGGTGCTCTCTTGGATCATGCATAGGGGTGGAACTCCTAGATTGCACACAAGAGCATCTGTGGGTGTCCTGGAGCACACCAACCCGTATACTCACAGGCATGAGTGTGTACCTGTGAGCAAGCACTTTGACTCCAGGAAACCAGGGATGCCTCTACTCCATGGAGCTAAATGCTATGTTCTCTCTCCCTTCCCTGGGGCCCCAGTTTTCTTGCCAGAATCAGCACCCTGAAACCCTGAGAGTAAACTTTTACTTTCCTGTCCCTGGCTTCTATCTCCATCCAGTCTGGGTTTTCAGCTAAATGCTGCTTTGTCCAATACAGCACTGGTAGTCACATCTGGCTACTTTGACTTAATTGCAAATTAATTAAAATTAAATACAATTAAAAATTCAGTTCCTCAGTCACACTAGCCATCTTTCAAGGGCATCAACATAAAAAGTTCTATCAGCCTGGCCAGTGTGATTCAGTGGTTGAGCATCGACCTATGAACCAGGAGGTCACTGTTCGATTCCCTGACAGGGCACATGCCCGGGTTGCGGGCTTGATCCCCAGTGGGGAGCATATGGGAGGCAGCCGATCGATGATTTTCTCTCATCATTGATGTTTCTATCTCCCTCTTCCTTCCTCTCTGAATCAATAAAATATATATATATATTTTTAAAAGTTCTATCAGACAGTGCTGATGAGGATGTTCCTAGTGCTGGGGACCTCCTGCTTGGCTCCTGATCACCTCTCCAATGGATGACCCCTGGGGAGGCAAGTGGGTGCCCAGAATCCTCTCCAGCTAGGCCCTGGGCAGCGCCCTCCCATGATCATCCAGTCCCAACTCCAGGCCTTGAAAGGCCAAGTTCTCTCACAGCAGCCTAGGAAAGATGCCTGGGATCTTGTCTCAGGTCCATGGGAAAACAGCTCTTGGCTCCCTGAGGATATGTGAGATTCTGGATTGGGCACAGGAAGGGACCAGCTGGCTGCATGGCCATCAAGGGTCTGAGGCCTGCTTCTCCAGCTCTTGGAGTCATCTGTTCCAAATTCACCAGTTTCTGTTAACTTTTGGGGCCCCAGGCTCCAACCTCCCAGTGAGGGTGGTACAAGTCAAGGGTGGATTACCTGCCTCAGACTAGTCACAGCATCAGCCTCTATGTCCCTAACCTTTGTCTGGCCTTTGGGGACAGTACCATGACCTACAGCAGGATAAATCTCTCTGGGGATCCAGCAGACCTCACACATACATTCTCATCTCTGGGATGGGCCTGCCTGGCCAGAGCCAGCCTGTTGGTCACACCAGTCGGCCCTTGTCTCCAATGTAACATCCTTTTTTTTAAGATATATATATATTTTTTCTTTTATTGATTTCAGAGAGACAGATAGAAACATCAATGAGAGAGAATCATTGATGGGCCACCTGCTGCACGCCCGCTACTGGGGATCAAGCCCACAACCTGGGCATGTGCACTGACCAGGGATCAAACCCTGACCTCATTCATAGGTCGACGCTCAACCACTGAGCCACACCGGCTGGGCCCAGTATAACATCCTTTTGTTGTGGGTGGCAGGAACAAGCACCAGGTGTGACAGCCATGGGGTCAGACTGGACCTGGGTTCAGGAACCTCGGTACTTGAATTCTGCTGGCTAGGCAAGAATTCAGAGCAAAGACTCAAAACTGTAAGAGAAAATTTATAAAATCACAGAGATGAAAGAAGTATTTTGTAGAAGAAATGGGCTTAGGAAACAAGTTATAGAGGCAAAGGAAGGGACGTTGGACCTTAGAAGTGAGGAAGGTAAAGGTGACTCCCCTGGGGGGAAGGAGAGGGGGAAGAGAAAGGCACCTGCCTGCTCCTGGGAGGGAGAGCACCCTGAGTGCTGTGTCCTAAGGGTTTTAAGGGTGGAGATGTTAGGGGAGGTCCCAGGGGGACATCTCAGTAGAATATTCAGCAGCTTTCCAGATGTGTCCTTCCAGGGGGTCATTATTCAGTGCAGCTGGTCCTGGTGTCAGCTGTGCTGTTACTTGTCTGGTTTAGCCTGGAGCTAAAATACAACTGAGGCCTCCAGAGAGGAAAGATCAGGGAGTCCAACCCCAAACCGCAAGACCAGCAACATGCTAGGGGGAGAAAGGTCACCCTGGGAGGAGGTCCCACCCTACAACTGTCCTTTTCGAGGCACCCAGGGCCTCCTACCCTAGTGACCTTCTGTACCTGGCTCATCGTCCTTGCTTTGTTCATGTCTTGGCTCTGGATTCTTTCAGAGAAAAGGGGCACAGGGTCTCTTCTGTAGCTGCTTCCTGCTGAAGAGGAATGAAGTTTTCCTTCAGAGCTAAGAGATCCTTGCTCATTGTCAAAGGGGTAATGAGACCTGGTGACAGAAGGAGGTGACGATGGTGTCTAGAGGTGGTATTCCTGAGTACGAGTAGGTTTGTAACATAGTGGGGACAAACTGTGTTAAAAATCTTAGTATTTGCCCTAGCAATTTTGGCTCAGTGGATAGAGCGTCTACCTGCGGACTAAAGGGTCCTGGGTTCGATTCTGGTCAAGGGCACATGCCCCAGTTTCGGGCTTAATCCCCAGTAGGGGGCGTGCAGGAGGCAGCTGATCAATGATTCTCATCACTGATGTTTTTCTCTCTCTCTCCCTTCCTCTCTGAAATCAATAAAAATATATTTAAAAATAAAAAGTAAGCAATTAGTATCCTTTCAATTGGCAAGTACATTTTATAACTTCTAGAAACAGGCTTTTCATTGGCAAACACACTCATGCTTTTAAGAGACATATTTCTAATAAAATATAAGACATTAAAAGCTCCAAGTTTATTTTTAAGCTTTTTTTAAATAATAAAAGGCCAAAAGTAGGTGAACTTAAGACTTGTCTAGCAATCAATATGTTACAGCTGAAATGAGTTAATTGATCTGCTTAAGTGGCTAAGGTTTTTTCTGTCAATAAGATTACCTCCCAGCTGAGCTGGTGTTGCTCAGTGGTTGAGCGTCAACCTATAAACCAAGAGGTCACAGTTTGATTCCCAGTCTGGGCATATGCCCAGGTTTGGGGCTTGATCCCCACTGGGGGGTATGCAGGAGGCAGCCGATCTATGGTTGTCTCTTTTCATTGGTGTTTCTATCTCTCTCTCTCCCTATTCCTTCCTCTTTGAAATCAATAAAAAAAAAAATTTTTTAAACAATTACCTTCCAGAAATGTGCATTTTAAAAGATGGCTAAGATAAGATTTGGTGGGCTTTGAACTGTTTCTGGAGACACACCTCTGGCCCTGAAAAGACTTCATTTATAAAACAAGGACAGTCATTTTTTTTTTTTAAATATCTCAAGGTTTGGCAAATGTTGGTAAAGGGCTGACAATTTCATTCATCCATCTTTGGAATGTTTGTTTCCATTTGGGCATATTTTTCTTTTAGGCTCTGTAGCAATTACAGAGAGATCTAGCTTATAGGTAGTACACAGCTGAGAGTCATTCTGAGAGCCGTGAAGGCTTGCATGTATGGGAAAGACACATTGACCTAAGGAGGCTTCATCCTCCAGTCACTTCCCTTGGGATGGCAAAACAGGTCTAGCTGCAGGATAGTATTAAACTTAATGGTGCCATTAACAGGCTAAACCTCTCTATTGTTCACTTTATAGTGGGGCCAAGCTATATTATAAAGAAGCTTGAGGGACTTAGGGTCCAATTTCTCGCAGTTGGCGAATATGCATCCCAAAGGGTTATCTTGAGGCACTGTGAACAGGTTCCCCATCTATGAAGAGACAAATTCCCAGCTGAGAGTTAGAAGCGTCCCTACTGGTCTCTGGGCTGTCCTGCAGTCAGAACCACATTGGCATAGGTTCCCATCGCCCGGGAAATACCTGGGCTGTGGAGTGCATACCCTGTACCCTGAGCGTAGACTTAACAGTGACCTCCCTGATGGCCAGCATGGGAGGATGGACTTACTCTGCTCAGGCAGGTGGGTTCCATTCCACAGGCACTTCCTGCCATCTGGGTGCCACCCGTGACCAGCTCTGAGTCACCCCATGCTCTGAGGGCAGACTTACCAACAGCGGTCACAGTGATGGCTGGGCACTGTAAGGATGGACTCACTCTGCTCAGACAGTTGGACTTCACTCTACACGAAGCTAGTCCCAAGCGAGGCATCCCTGCTTGCCTGCCTCTGGACTTAGCCGGCCTTACCAGAGGTCTCCCCTATCGTGTCTGTCCATACAGGGAGTGCCTGATATCTCCATGACCTCAGACGGAAAATTCGTCCTACAATTCTAGTCTCCAGTTGTTGAGCCAGTGACCTGTTGCCCTGCCTTTCATGATCCCCAAAGCCCTGGTCCCTTAGGAGGCCTGGGAGAGAGAGCCGCCACCCCTCAAAGGGAAGGGAGAGTCCCTTTTAAGGTATCCCTGAGGCTTTCACAGAAGTTGGAAATAAAGATGGTTAGAAGAGTGTAGAGGAGGTGAGGGTGGCCTCATTCCCCAGCTTCAGGGACCCTAGGGAGTATGCAGAGTCGTCTTTTTAAAACCAGAAAACCCCCAAGGAACCAGAGAAGATTCCTGGTGATCTATACATGTTAGCTGGGCCTGTTGACCTTCTCTAGGACGATTAGAAGCTCTGGGTGTCCCTTGTTGAATGAGTTTAGGCTCTCCTTTATCCAGCAAAAGGTTTTGTTCAGACCCTCAGAAAGCAATTCCAAATGAAAAGTTAAAAGGCAGCCATCCGTTTTTTTCTCTTCTTTCCTTAGTTATCTTGATGCTTATCTATAGCCTAGGCCCTAGGGCAGCTGTGGGCAAACTACGGCCCACGGGCCGGATCCGGCCCTATGAAATGAATAAAACTAAAAAAAAAAAAGACCGTACCCTTTTATGTAATGATGTTTACTTTGAATTTATATTAGTTCACACAAACACTCCATCCATGCTTTTGTTCCGGCCCTCCGGTCCAGTTTAAGAACCCATTGTGGCCCTCGAGTCAAAAAGTTTGCCCACCCCTGCCCTAGGGTCTCTCAACTCTTAACCCTGAGCTCAAACCTGAGTATTTCAAAAATAAAACAGCTCAAAGAAAGCCAGTCTCTTATCTTAAAACAAAGAGTTCCCGAATTCCAAGAAAGTCACCCAAGTCCACCGGATGCCAAGTAAGGAGCTGGTGGGGCACCATGGGTCCCTGCTAGTACCTAGGGCTGGTCCAGGTCTGCAAGGTGGTCCTGGGTGAGCTTCTCTGGAATCCTGCCACACAGTGCCCGTCATGACACCGTAATGTGGCTGGCAGGAGCCACACCGGGTGTCACACCCATGGTGTCAGATGGAACCGGGGTTCAGCAACCTCGGCACTTGAGTTCCGCCTAGGAAAGAATTCAGAGAGGAGACTCAAATGATAAGAGAACATTTATTTATAAAATAACAGTGGTGGAAGAAG